CTATCAACCTTTAAAGCATCAAGAATATGAATATAATCATCAATATAGCACCATAGACAACCAAAGTTATGAATACAATCATCAACCAATAAACTCCCCCTCAATAAGAGCATATTATCATCAAAATCATAAATAACCATTCACAAAGCATGTTAACACAAGTGATGCCAATTTCATTCATAAAACAAGATAAAAAGGTTCAAGACACATCCATAGTCAAAGAAAACATAAAATGCATAACCCTAAGATGTCCATCCTAAAGATTAGCCAAACTAAAGAAATATCAAGTCAGTTGGCATTAGGTGGGGGTGGAAGAAAAAAATGGTTAACAAGCCGATCAAGCTTTCCTTCCATGTTAGTCATTCTCCCTCTCATTTTTGTCTGGAAGCCATAAAAGTCGGTGTGTAGCTGCTGCATCTCATTTATCATCAACTCCATGGTTTCACGGTTGGTCCTTTGCATGGAGACTCGAAATGGTCTTGGGCTGTCTCCTTCATGTTTTTCTGCCCCTTGTTCTGCCATTTCTTGATCAGTATCACCTTCTTCTTCATCCCCTTCTTGTTCCCCTTTCTTTATCCAAATGCCATTTCTAAACAAACAGTCCATTTTTTCAAAAGAAGCTTTGGTAAGTGTAGTCCCACCGGGAACCGTTTCGAACCTAAAGGATGTAAGATCAATGTTGTTCCTCTTCGCCAATCTGGTAATTAGAGCACCATGAGGAAGTCCCGTAGTTGGTGAGTAAGGTTTGATTATGCTCCGAAAAATGTATCTTCCTAGGTTCACCCTTTTCCGTTAAGAAGATAATCGAACCAGGGAAGATCACTGGCAAGAACATAAGATTTAGAACCCTTCCTCTGAGCAATAATGCGAGATATAATCCACTGCAATGCTCTATTCTCTGGTGTAAGAAACGCCACTTTAATTTGATTTTCAGTGCAATTGGGGGCAATTGTGGCTCTAACTAAGGCATTATTCACACCTAGAAACTCATCATCTCCTCCTTCAGGTATATCTAATATAGCACAAATATCCCTTGGAGAAAACTGAAATGATACCCTAGCAACCATAGTTTTCCATCTATTCCCTATTGGTTTCAGATTAGCATAAAATTGATGAACAACTTCATAATACACAGGTTCTTTAATTTCTATATAATCCTTCCACCCAAGTTCCCTAAAAATTTGTTCAACATGCATATCTCCTTGAGGAAATTGACTGAATTTCACACAATTGCATGGTAGCACAGCCAAGTTTTTGAAAAAATTATAGCGATTAATGGCATCATCATCCACAAATAGAGCATTATCAATGAGGTTACCTTCTTCTTGCGCTTGGCCACCGGCACTAGAACTCCCCACTTGTTTCCTTTTACTTCCAGCCCTTCTTGAAGCCATGAGAGAGAAATCCCAACAGCCACACCAAAAATACAGCAGATCCCACACAGATTGAAGTGAAAAGCTTGAAGATTTGTGTTGGGTAGGCAAGGATTTGGTGGTATTTGAGTGTTTAAGGGATGGGTTTTGGAGATTTGGAGAGATTTTGGTGTTTGGGAGAGTGAATGATGAGTTTTGGGAGAGGAGAGGTTGTTGGTTTGAAACAGATTTGGGTTGGTTTGTGCGGGGAGAGAGAAACACGAGGCTTTAAAAATTCTGCAGGAGAGCCGGCTATAATTACAGAGCCGGCTGTAAAGCGGGTTTGGGTTAGGTCGCCTGCGGTTGAGCCGGTTGGAGAACCTAAAGCTAGCTGTGGCTTAGAGAGAGAAGACTCTCGATTTTTTTGGGTTGAGACGGCTGTGAACCTAGAGCCGGCTGTGTTGTAGAGAGAGAATACTCTCGGGTTTTTGGTTAAGCCGGCTGTGAAAAGGGTGAGCCGGCTCTATTGGCCTTGATTGGGACAAGCAGAAAGTTTGGGGCTGTTTTGAAGGGAATGCACCTTAATTTGATATTTCTTCATTTAACTAAGTTTAAATTGGACATCAACTACTAAATAATGCAACTTTAGTCATATATCAATGTATGCATCATCAAATATTATGAATATAATCAATGTACACATATTAAAGTAATCAATATGGACAAATTTTAATAAGCAAATTCATTAATTTCAAGAATCATATCAAGCACTAGAATCCAACATGCCAAGCTCATTAATTTGCATAAATTTTAATAATCACATCAAATGATATCATATTCAACAAGCATATATATCAAAGAGTGAACACATATAAACAAATTGAAGTAATTATACTCAATGAATAAATGCAATAAAATAAATAATACCAATTTGAGCACATGAGTGGAGCATTCAAAAACAAATTTCCTTTGCACTTCCACTCCAACATTCTTGTTGAGGCATAAGTCCTTTTAAGATCTACTATGCTTTCCTTAGTGACTTTGCCATCAACTTTTCCTACAAAACAAAATTAAGCTTTGATTTTTGGTACCCAAATTTGCTTGGGTCCATGGGGGTTAGTGCTTAAAGTTCATTTTGGAACCCAAATTTGCTTCACTTTACCTTGAGCTATCAATCTCTTCAAAGGACATACATAAGCAAAGTGTCCATTTGCACCTCAACAATAGCAAGTAACATTAGGATGATAGGCTTGACTTGCTCTTACAAAGGTAGTCTTAAAAGTCTTTTGCTTTTTAGAATAATCAAATCCAATGCCCCCTTTGTCATAAATATTTTTTTGAGATTTTAAGATAGAATCAAAATTTTCTTTACTCAAAGTAAATTTGGAAATCACATTTTCAAGATCACAAGTTTTTCTCTTTAAAACCTCATTTTCTTTCTTTAAATCTTCATTTCCTTTCTTTAAATCCTCATTTACCTTTTTCAAAGCATTATTGGACTCATTCTCTAAAGAAGCAATCTCATCATTTAAAGAGGCATTCTCTTTAACTAAAACCTCATTTCGTTTTGAGAGAGATTCAATTTCATTCCTAAGCAATGAAATGGTTTTAGTAAGAGCAATATTCTCATTTCCTAGTTTTTTAATGTCATTCATAGAGCAGTCAAGAACTTTGCATAAATCATCATAAGAATACTCAAATGAACTTTCATTAATTGAACTATAGAAGTTAGAGTTTACCTCCTCACCATGGTTGCTATCCTCTTGAGCCATGAAGCAAAGATTTGTAACACCTTTCTCCAAGGAGCTTTCACTTTCCGTTGAGCTAGTCTCATCATCACTCCAAGTGGCAACAAAAGCTTTCTTCTTCATGCTCTTCTTGCCTTTCTTCAAATTGGGACATTCATTTCTATAGTGCCCCATCTTGTTGCACTCATAGCATTTCACACTCCTTTTGGTAGACTCTCCTTCATCTCTTTTTGCAAGCTTGCTCTTGATGTTCTTTTTCATGAATCTCCTCACTTCTTTAGAGATCAAGGTGGAGATGTTTTCACCATCACTAGCATCATCTTCACGTTTTTCCTTTTGGTTGCTAGCCTTGAATGCAACATCCTTCTTCTTCTTCTCAACTACTTCAACTCCACCATCAACTTGAACTTCTATCTCATATGTCATCAATTTTCCAATGAGATCTTCAAGCTTGAGAGTGTTGAGATCCTTAGACTCTTCAATTGCGGTCTTCTTGGCTTCCCAATTCTTAGGCAAGCTTCTAAGAACTTTCCTCACCACTTCTTGAGAAGGATAGACTTTACCAAGAGCCTTGAGATTGGTGACTATATCATTCAATCTTGTATACATATCTTGAATGCTCTCCTTCGGTTTCATCTTGAAAAGCTCATACATGTAAATGACTCTATTGATTTTTGACTCCTTCACTTGGCTTGTCCCTTCATGTGTTACCTCCAACATGTCCCACATCTCCTTGGCCGTATCACATCCGGATACTCTATGGAATTCCGTTGGATTGAGAGCACATTGAAGCATGTTGATTGCTTTGTTGTTGATCATGATCTTCCCCAAGTCTTCATCATTCCATTCAACTTCTTCCTTTGGCACCTCTCTTTCTCCAACAACTTTCATAGGTACATATGGACCTTTAATAGTCACAATCCATGCCGTGGGCACATTTGCAAGCATGAAGACCTTCATCCTATTCTTCCAATAATTATAGTTAGTCCCATCAAAGAAAGGAGGCCTAGTGGTAGACAAACCTTCAAGTGGTTGAGAAGATAGGAATTGAGCCATCCCCGATCAACTCCTAGGTGGTTAAACCTTCAAATTGGAGCCCTTGCTCTGATACCAATTGTTGACTCAATGTACTCCAAGAGGGGGGTGAATTGGAGTTCCAAAAATTCTCCCTTTTTTCAACCAAAAAAACCCAAATTAAAGAGAGTAGAGAAGAAGAGCTTGCACAATGAATTTATAGAGGTTCGGTCCAACCACTTAGAGCCTAGTCCTCTACCTTGGCTTCACTCACCAAGGATTTCCTCCACACTCTTCACTAAGAAAAACAAGGGTGGCTTAAAGTAGCCACTCAATCCTTTTACAACAAGATGAGTATTTCTCTCAAACCTCACCCCTTTACAATGTAAACCCTACAAATCCTCTCAATAGATCACTCTTGAAGGAATCAATACACCCCCAAGATCACTCACTAATAGCACAAGAAGAGGATTACAAGCAATGATCACTCAAAGATCAAAAACTCAAGTTTAAGCTCAAGTAGGTAGGTAAAGATATGCAATGTGTTGTTCTCTAAACCTCTTCAGATCTTCTACCACTCATATTTATAACCCCATGGTCAAAAATAGCCGTTACTAGCTGTTGGGGGTCATTAAATGCTCTGCAGGACGCAAAGCTCGAGCTGCAGGTTTGTCAGAAGAGTCGGCTTAGCTATCTAGAGCCGGCTTACACTTCTAGAGCCAGCTATCCGGGTTTGCAGGCCATTCTGTTTTCCTCGAGAGCCAGCTTTGGAATTCCGATTTTAAATACATTCAAAAGAGTTGACCGTTGTGCATTAAATGCACCCTCACAACCGACTATAAAGTTGGAGCCTGCTTTGCATCTTTTTTCTGCGCGCGCCAACAACGGTTCAATTTTTTTTTTTGCCTGTAGAGTCGGCTGCAGCTTCCAAGAGCCAGCTGCAGCTTCCAAGAGCCGGCTCTCTACAGATATTCAAGCCTTTCTGGTCCATTTTTAAGTGCAGTCCAAGTTTACTTATTTTACAATCTTTTGACATTTTAACTACACACTTAAATGAACCAATTAGTCACTCAAATGTGTTTTCTAATCATCAAAATCATAAGTACAACATTTTCCAGTTTGACTTAGCTTCCCACACAGCTGCAATAGGAGCAACCCACTGTTACTCAGCTACCATTGGACGATGACCAGTACACTGGTGATGATGCAACAATGGAGGAGGACACTGAAGAACGTACTTTGGAGGCTGATTTGGATGCTGAGTTTGCTGTGCTTGATCCTGAGTTAGATACTCAGCTGGAGGAGGCACTATCACGTGCTATCCTGAAGACAGGACGTGACAAGGATAAAGGAGATAGCGCTCCTGCCGACCCAAGTCAAAGGAAGGTGCTTAGCCTTAATCATCGAGGCACATTCAGCCATGAGAAGTTTAGGAGGACTGCCATAGTAATATGGAAATACTTGTATGATGAGCCAATGCTTTTTTGGTCTAGTTGGCCTGAGAAAAAGAAGAGGGTTGCTTGGGAGAATTTCCAGGTATGAAAATTATAGAATAAAATGAAGTATTTTTTTGAGAATTTATTTAGATGCTATCATTTTATTTTTATGGCATTTGATATGGACGTACAAGGTATATTTTATATGATTTTTTATATTTTATTTATAAATAGTGAAAAAAATGATAATTTAAGCAAAGCTTTGCTATTTTTTAAAGAAAAATCAAATAAATTATTAAAATTTAATTTTTTTTTTTCATTGCAGAGGACATATTATTGGGAAGAAGATGATGCTCATGTGTATAAAATTTGGAGATTACATTGTCGGAACCATTTCCGAGACGAGGTTCATCAAGCTCGAAAGGCATGGGTCAAGTACAAGAAGTTGCTTGAGTTCATGCATAAGGATACCTTTAAAATTTGTTGGCAAAATGGAGGAGTCCAAAATATATTGCACTCCAGGAAAGAGGTCGGCAAAATCGAGCAAAGGGTGATCGTGTGACCCACACAATTGGATGCCTTTCTATTGGGATCCACGAGGATTGACTGGTTAGTAGGATATACTTATATATATAAACATCTATAAATTATTTTTGTTTACCATAAAAATGGAAATGTTATTGATTGTACTGATGTTTTAATAGGTAGCTAAAAAAGGAGGAGTTAGGTCGACACCTTTAGAATCATATTTGTTGACTCACACGACTCGCTGACCTGATGCTCCAGAAGATGTCCCACCCACTTAGATATGTCCACAAGTTGAGTAGACATATGTAAGAATTTGATTCTTTTATGATATTAATTTTATTTATTTTTAATGTCATATTGCCCTAAAAGAAGAAAAGTGATACAATTTTTTATCCATTGTACTCAGAAAATGATTATTTTTCATTTGATTTCCCATTATCATTTGAAATTGCTAACTAATGAAAATTTTATTTTTGAAATAGAACGATGCTCACCAAATATATGTGGAGAAGCATGGGCCAAACAAGGATTCGTGGCCATAATGGGATCCACTTATTTGGAAGGAGGTGGTTGGACCTCCTAAAAAGGGTTAGATGAGAGGAATGTCTACATTACAGGATCCAGCAGAGCATGGCATCCCTTGGCGACGGTATGACATGAGTGAGGCCTCCTCTTCTACCACCAGGATTCTTACGACATAGGTCCAGCAGTTGTAGTCTGAGCTTACTCAAGTTTAGGAAGAAATGGTTGAGCAAGTTCAGACAAAGGTGGCTGCATGTATTCATACAGAGGTATCAAAGAGAGTATCAGAGATGGAGGCCAGCTTTGAGAGGAGATTCCAACAGCACATGCGCTTACATAGCCAATAATATTCTATGAATGCTACACAACTCCAGACTGGTTATCCTGCTTCTGCACCACCCCAGACTATTGATCCTTCTTTTGGAGGATTTAGACCTGATTACTTACCACCTCCTACTTAGAGACATTGATATTTTATACTTATATTATATATGTTTATATATATGTACTGCATATGTATATACATGGTGTGTAGGATGAGAAGTTAGTGTATATTTATTAACTTAAACTAGTTTTTAGTTATGTAGTATTTGAGTTTAAATAAGTAAAATATATAATATTAATAAAATTTAACAATCCTATAGTAAAAAGAAAAAAAATTACAATATAATATTTCACAAAGAAATAGCATATATATATATATATATATCTTTATCTAAACTAGAACTTTTATAATTAATTATTAACTCAAAAAAAAATTGATTCTTATTACTTTTAAAACCAAAAATTTTACAAGAGAATTAATAAAAAAGCAAACTCAAAAGAAAAACCAAAATATAATTTAACAAAAAAGAAATAATTAAATAAATCAAATTGTCAATTAGTTTAAAGAGATAGTATATTTGTTTAAATATAAGG